TATATACGCAAACCCCCGAAAACCCGCTAAATTTATCCGGTCCGGGACGCGCAGTACGTTATATTATTATTATAATAATAGAATATGTTGTTCAGTTTTACCGCATTTATGCCGGTCGATAATTTTACTCATTGTCTCTGTATTGGTTCGCGGGCGAACTTCAACCGCGCTCATTCGCCAAAATATTATTAACAGTATCGATTGCGTTCCCCCCCCCCCCCCCGGTTATAAATTCGATAAAACTAATCGAATTCGCTTCCGACGGCCTGGACGTCGATGGACATCCGATCAACGGTATTCGCATATTTTATAGGCAAGACGAATGCGTTTTTTTTAATTTAATGTTGTTGTTCCGAACGCGTATTCGGCTAGTAAAAATACATCAAATTCTTCAACTTTTACCTTTAAATACGCGGATTCCCCTTCCCCCCCCTCCTCGGTGTTACTTTATTATTATTATTTTTTTCGTTATGCTACGTGAATAATTAAATTAATACAATCGACCCCCCGCTTTATTGAGAAACATCGGCTGCGTGTTATTTCGTCTCAATAAAGCGGTTGTCCCAGTAATCGGAAATAAAAAAAAGAACATGCAAATTTGTTGAAAACTGACTTTTTATATTTTTATTATTACAAATTACATATTAATATATGCATACATACTATAGAAAGTATTTATTAACACAAAAAGAAAACATGATGTACATTAATTATTTATAAAAATACATACATAATACATATTATATATTTTTTTATTTTTTTATCTTATTTAAAAAAATTATCAATATTAGTTTGTTTTTATTACGATTGTTAGCTAATGTAATCTGAACAAGCACCCGAAGCACTTACGGGGCTTCCTTCATTACCTTTTCGTTTCGAAAAATGTCTCAATCATCCCGATTTATGGCCCAGATAAGCGGTGAAAATTTACACTAAAACTATACATTTGTTTTCGTAATTGAATAATCGTCCCGATTAAGCGGTCGTCCTTATTAACCGGTGTCTCTATTAAGCGAAATCGACTGTATTTTAATTTTAAATCGATAATAATTTTAGTATTTAAACACATAAATCGGACGTATCGTGTGTCTTGTAATGCAATAGTTGTTACATGAATATCTAGTGTACCTATCGAATATCTAGGTACTCACTTCGATGTATTTTGCCCATCCCTGTTCATCCCTGTTAATAGCCAATTTTATTCGAACCAAAATGGGGCAACTTTAAAATTTTAAAATAATTTCTTAGACGCGCAAAAACTCAACAATTGTTTTTTTTATTCATTACAAATACTAGCCCCCTCCCCTGAAATTCTATTGGTGGATTATATAACAGAAGCGGCAGAGACGTGCGATCTTATACTTAATATATTATACGTATACAAAATCATTAACGCACCGTATCACGTATCACGCTCTCACGTGCATACATCACGAGACAGGGTACATACTCTATAATCGAAAAAAAAAATAAGAGTTCAATAATTCTGTATTTTAAGATAAAAAAAATGTACAGGTGTACATAGGTACCTGTGGATTTTTGTTTGCGTGTTTAATGTTTTCTGCGACAACCGCGCGTTAAAAATAAAATGAAAACCGTGCCGGTCGTCTCTGTGACGCGAACCGAGCAAATACTCTCGAGACGAGAAAAAACGACCCCATTGATTTTGAACAGAGCTCGTTTCGTTTCGTTTTTTTTTTTTTTTTTTCCTTTCATACTCTTCTCTCATCGAATCGCCGGCAGTTGCGCGCTCCCCCGCTGACTATATATTATTATCATAATAGGCATAATACGAGTGGGTATATAAATATACCATAAACAGCTGATTCCGTACAAGGATATAATACAATAATATTATATTACTGGCTGTATTTACAGCCCGCACACACGATCGCTGCACCCGTCAAGGACCGCGGCGTTATTAATAATATCCCCGTTCCCGAGCGCTCTTTTTCGGTCCGTCTAAAAATATAAATACTGTTCCTCGCGTGTGTCCGTTATACTCGGCATATTATTATTATTATTATTAGTAGTAGTAGTAGTAGTAAAAGTAGTAATAGTAGTAGTATAATATATTAGTTTGTTAACAGGGTGCAGTGTTGTAGTAGCGTTGTACACAAACACGATCATTATTTTCTAAAATGGGCGCGGCGGCGACCGGACGACATCCGCTCGTGGGTCCAGTATATTATATTCGGTTTGAGAAAAAAAAAAAAAAAACCAGAAAAAAAGAAACTGTATTGTTGACGACGATTTTCGATTTCTTGTGCCCCCTGCGCCCGACCGTGTTCTGAGCGATAATATCCGCCAGCTACATAATATACTCAGTTCCGTTCATTTGTTCACAGTCGCGCAAACAGGATTTATTTTTCCGAGGGTCGCGCTTGTAATTACGGAACATAAGCCGTGTAAATATAGAAATCGTGAAACTCAATTAAATAATATGCACGAACGAAGAAATTTCTGTGAAGGTTATGACCTCTTAGCCACCTCCCATACGCGCCGCCACTGCCCGGGGTGTGTTCCGCGTTAAAACCACGTTTAATATTCGGCAAACTCAATGCTGGGCGAACTAACAATTTTTTTTAAACAGTTCGAGTGGATTTTTCAAGTAAAAGTCAATTTTACAATATACCTAAATGAATAATTTGAATAACTGAGTTAAGCGTTTTCAGAAAAACAATAACCTAAGTTAAGTTGAAGATTTAAAGTTGATTATTTTAAAATTACCGTTGACCGCACGTCAACTCTAATACTTATAATTTCATAGATTCGCCATACTCACACGAGTCTATATCCTATACTAGGGGGAGCCCGCGCACTGCTTTCAACACTCTTCAAGCCCCATAACTCGTATAGTATAACATATATTATCGAAAGAATCAAAACTATCAAACCTACATAAATATCAACATTTTTTTTCGATCGAGATTTTTGAGATTTCATAAAAAAAAAATAATAATAATAAAAAATAATCGGCAAGCCTCTGATTTCGGATATTTGTTACGCCGCGGTCGTCTACGCTCCCCGTACAGGACAGTCGCGTACACGAGTCGGTAAATAGGCCACGGTTGAAATGGAACGGTCCGGATATATATAAATGGGTTGATTAAGTTTACATTCGTCATTAGTTGTGAGTTTTTTTTTTTTTTTTTATCGATTTATTAGAAAAACTTCCGGGGATCTGGAAAAAAAAATGTTTACTTTCGCGTTATTAAGTATATTGTATATATTAATACGATATTTTACCGGAAAAAAAAAAACGACAACGATTTTTGACAGATTTTGCATACTAATATTATTTATTTTGTTCGTTTAATTCGATTATCATAATATACCCTTGGTAGCGTTTGTTGTTATTATTATTATTTTTTTTTATTTTTTTACTAAAAGCCCGTATAACATACAATCATGCGATTATAATATATTATTATTATTACAGTGAATTTTATCGCTGCGACACGTACGAATACACATCCTGTTTATTTATATTTAATACACATTAAAGTACACAATTAATTGATATGATGTCACGGTTAGGTGTGTCATTTATAATGCACGCGATTTTTTTTTTACCCCGATTTAATCGCGCATATTATTACCGTAAGCGCGTTTACGCGTCGAAACTGCAGCAACAGCATGGCCGGGTAGTCATTTCGCGAAACGTTTAACTCGCTTTCTGCGCGCAAATTAATACAACCATTATAGATACTAGATACCTATGAGTGTATCAATTCGAACGATCGAAAACCAGAATCATCAGAATGCGTTTTAGTATATTAAAAAAAATTATCAATTTATAATCATTGCGATTCATACCGCAGTCACTGGTAATCACAATTAAACATATTATTTCTCTTATACGCGAGAGGATATAATATAATGTGGGTCGCGGTAATGATGATATTATACCCAAGGCCGGGCATTAGCGAGTTAAAAAATTAAGTTGATTTTTATTACTTTTAACATTTACATTTTTTTTTTTTTTTTTTTCCGTAATTAACTCAACCTTAATTTTGTTTTTGTTTTTTTACATTGCCGGAATTTTAAATTATATAACGTCGAATTAGTTCCAAAATGCATTTCAATATTAACACAATATTACAACGGAAAAATGAATTGTTAAAAAAAAATTGTTTACACTTCTATGTGTTAGTTTGAATTGTCCATACAGTTTATCATCCTACTACACCTAAACAAGAAGTAATACGCATGATCTCAAATATACAACAATATTATAATTACAATCTATACACTTTATCAAGACTGGGCATAACGAGTTAATCAATTGAAATTCAAGTTAATTTCAACTTATTAACTTGACTTACTATCTTGCTATTTTTAAAGTCACAAACTCTAGGTGCAACAGTTTTTACTATAAAAATAACAATTTTACAAAACTAAATGAATAACTCGTTAAATTTAACTTAATATTAAACCGTTAACCCGTTTTTTCAATTTACTTTAATGAGTTAATTTTATTCTTTGACTTACCTGATCTTACGGTAACGGATATCTGCGTACTAATATGATTATTTTTTACTGCGTTTATCCGAGTGTTGTTTGCAGTTTGCCTTACAAACGAGATAACCACACCGGCGCAGGTTTTTATACAATTAATATTATTGTATACAAGCACGGTATAATAGAAATCACTAAAATTATTGTCGTGATTGCTGTAAAAAAATGAAATTCCGCTTATCATCATTTTTCTTCTATACTCTAATAATTGGTACTTAATTATGAAAATTATAACCTACGGGTATAATGACTGGTACACTATTCGCGTAGATATTGAAACAAATCTTTTCAGTGCAAATGTCACTTTCCATTTTTTTTTTTTTTTTTTTTTCAATATTATTTGTTGATATATATTGAAGAAAAACAATAAGGTTTTCAATTAGTTAGCGAGTCGTACCGGCACGGTTTTATCGATTGTACCGATAAACAAACAAAATACGATGATGAAATGTCTAAAACAATATTTACTATTGAAGTAATAAAATCCTAATATAATAGTATTATAAAAGGGTATAATAAAGAGAAAAATATTCCATTGACGAGCATTTCTAAAGATACACGCGTTTCAAATATATTTTAATTATTTGATTCGCGAAATAACGTTTCCGTGAAACTTTTATTTATAAACGTGACCGTCTTTACAGTAAAATAGCTGCACCTGTATAATTGCCTTTGTATTCGCGGGTTATATTAGGCGGAACCGAGCAAATTCACGCGTATTGTACACTAAGTGAAGTTAAATTTATTCAAAAACTACTAACGAATCAACACGTAGAAAGTAAACTTTTTAAAAATATTTATGTTATTGATAATAAATTCGGCAGCATCATTAGAAGGACCGGATTTAAGAAATTGCCCCAAGTCCAGAGACCCCCACAGAATGCAAAATATAAGGGGCCCTCACGATAGGTACTATCACTATTTATTGTAGTAAGAATCTTCCCAAATTTAAATGCTAACCTATAAATGTTAATTTAGTTTTTTTTTTTATTATTATTAAAATTTACGAGCGCCTCTACCTGATATGGACCCAGGAGTTTCCACAACCAGAAATCCGGTCCCGATCACCAATCGTCGTTACAACTTTTCTACCAGCAATTTGGCTCAGATTTTCAATTACAGTACTCTTTTTGAAAGGAAATCTGACTGGGGTGGTACTTTAAGGAAGTCATTTTTTGATTTTTCCGGGAGTTTAAACTTCAATAAACGCTCCACGCATACTTTATTGAGTATACAAAATGTATATATATATATATATATTGTTAAGTATGCCTATTCGAGTAACCAGTGCATCTGTAGTTTGTAAATGAAGTATTATAGCGTTAAAATGAAAATAAATTGGACGAATACGAGAACTAACTTAAAATGATTAACATATAGTTTAAAATTATTTACTTAGTTACCTAATGTAAAAAAATTAGTTAAATTAGTAAAAAATCAAAGGCTGAAAATTAAAATTAAAATTCCAACACGTTAATACCCAGTCTTGGTTATAGACGAGAGAAAAACCGATTACATAGTCATAATAATAATATTTGTGATATTGAAACAAACATTGTATATAATATTAAAATATATTTTAATGTTCTTTACATTTTTTTTTTTTTTTATTCCATAATAACAATTATTATAGGCATATATATATATATATTTATATTTCATATTTAAATCGATTTAATGTAAACATAACCCCCATAGCATAAACAGCGATTTCTGTAAACAATAATTTATGATTTAATTTGTTTTTTAGTTTATTTTATAATCGTTTTTAAAAAGAATGTAAGAAATATATTATTTGTTATAATATGACGTTTATAATATATTTATTTTTTCCGTGTATCTAATTATTTTCGTTATCTAAGTACATTTTACGAGCGTGTTTTATATAAAACGTCATCGATTCGAATTGCACACAATCATATTGTTGTATTTATAATGGTTTGGGAATTATTGTATACAGTATGGACACTGTCGATTTAAATTGGTATTGTTTATTACTAATATATAACGAGAACTGTAACTTTGTTTTGCATTTATTGGATTCTAAGCGAAACAGGGAATGTACCTCAGCGAATTAATTTTTACGTTAAAAAAAAAAATTCTATGTGTAGGCAACTACAAGTGACTCTCGTCGGTAAAATGTTCCTTAAAAAGTTATTTCCGTCACGTTGTTATATTATACGTTTATGTCTACGTGTTGAAATTATTTTAACCGAATGACTATATTCAATACACTATAGGTAAGTATACTATGTATCGTATTATAAGAGATTCAAAATAGTTTGTTAAATTAAAACATTCTTTAAACGTTCCCTATACACTTATTACTTTCACTTTACATTACTCTGGTGTTACTAAACAAGTTTTTTAAAAAAAAAAACCATCGTTTATTTTTATGGGAATATTATAACAGGTAGGTATTTTATATTGTTGAAAAAAAATTGTACGTTGACCGAACTGTACTACGTGTAGTTTCTTCAAGCGTTAGTTTTAAAATTTTACTCTCGAGTAAATACGTTTTTATTTAGTAGGTACCTATTAAAATAAATAAAAACAGTAGATATCTATGTATACCTACACACACACACACACATATATATATATATATATATTTTTTTTTTCTGACACATAAAAGTAGAATTTATACAAAAACTAAATGTAGTAAATGCTAGATTATTGCTCCAATACTAAATTTGCACAGTAGTTGAGAGAAATATTATAATATATTGTTATTGCTTTACACAAACTTCAAGTTTTATCAGTATGATGACGTAATATTGTACAGGTACCACCTATATACATTTGATATGAATTCTGGTATTACTCATGTTGCGACTGCATTATAATTAATGATATTATAGTAAAGTTACTTTTTCATATCTTCGAAAAAAATCAAGGCGTTAATAATCCTCGTTTAGATTATCTAATTATCTTAACCTACATAATTAATTTATAATTTTTGCAATTATTTTAATAAAACATTGTCTAAACGATTTCGCGCAATATGGTCTGCAGTGGCAATAGCATTTGTACATTTACAGAAAGATTCATATGGGACATAGGTACTTATGTCTAATATGAATTATTAGTCATTTGTGATTTCGTCTCAAATAGGATGCTTGTCAACGGTTTTGCATTGCTTTTGGCAGAATAGATAACACAATATTATGATGTCCTCGTGGCGTGGCGAGCATACCTCGAAACGGGCAATTGCCCACGGTCTTATGTGGCCATAATTTCAAACACAGTTTATGGAACCTATATAACGTGGCAAAATTGATTTTTGTATTTACGTATGAATAAAACAGTATAATTTGTGTTTATTTAAAATGCAATAGAATAGAGTCAGCTCTCAATGGACCAGTGAACTAAGTTTATTAGATAATTTGATTTACTAGCAAAGGTTCTTGTTCAAAAGTTCGAAGGTCCAGATTTCTGTTATACCCGTGGAGTGAACATGCGTATCGTTTAAATTTGTAATAAATCATCTGGAATGAATATGCTCCTTAAAAAAATTGTAAATATTAAATCGCGTAGAATTCCAACCCGAGACAAAAACATTTTTATTTTTACGAGGACTAGGTGTAAATTCCCAGAGGGGAAATTATGCTTAAACATATTTCAAAGCTAAGCAGCCATCTTTATATGGACACCCTATTAAGGTGTTGCCGGCGGTTATTTTTTAACGTTTCACCCTAACCTATAAGTTATAACGATGAGGCATAACGATTGCAGTCTCATTCAAATACTCTTGGTCCGTGGGTATAATATTATATCTTATATATTTTCTGAGAGAGAAGGGCTTAAGTCAATTTTATGCGGTTATCAATTAATTCAAATTTTAGCAAATTAAATTCTGAAAAAATTGCTAAACGGCTAAAATACTTGACGGCCAAACCTAAATACAGGCGTTCTATGTCTCGGAATCCGAAAGGGCGAAAAACGCCAAAAACCGACTTCCCGGCGCTTCTGCCCCGGGACCGAAGAGTTACGATTCGGGAGCGAATTCGAAATTGCACGTCTCAAACGTTAGCCTGCGTACACGGGTCGTCCGAATCCACATAATAACATCGCGGGAACCGGCGAAACGACCGTGCCCGTCTCATATTACGCGAACGCGAACGCGATGGACGAATACCACCGGGGACACTCCCGAACAAATTTCGACGGATATCTCGCCGTCACAGTGTACGCGCGTATATTTTGTTTACGGGGTACGCGAACCGGGTAGCGATCGCCGCGCGGAACACCGGTACAGAGAGAGAGAGACGTCCCGTCGATGTGGCGTACGCTCGTACGTGTTGTCGGTCGTGTGCGCACAGTTAAATGTGCGAGCGTGCGCGGCCGTATAATAAATAAACGATCGGGTTCGGGCGGCGGCGGCGGCGGCGAAAGCGGCTCCCGCCGCGGCAGCTCGTTAAAATCGGTCCGCTGCCCGTGCACGTATACGATACCGCGATGCGTGCGACCGCGTTCGGGATGAGTTTCGAAAACGACGACGCGTACACGAGTATTTGTTTTATTTGTTTTTTTTTTTTTTATACGCGCGCGCGTACTGCAGTCGGATCGGACACGGTCCATCGTGTTCGCGCGAACGGCGGGCGATCGGTCCGGTATCGCGGACGCGCTCGGTTATCGGGTAACGTGTGCGCGGGCGTACGGCGCGGGCGCGTCGACCAAAAACGACAACGAAACGCAGCGGCGAACGGGCGGTACGCGCGCGCACCAGCAGAAATGGACTTTCATCGCGGTCGTTACACGCCGACGCCCGAGCCCGCGTCGCGACGCGCGGATTGACTGACGGGTGCGCGTCCAAACGAACAGGCGCCGCTTTCGGATCGCGACGGGGACGGCGACAATGCGGCCGTTTTAGCGGAGCGACCCGCCTAGCCGTTTCGCGTGTTTGCGCGGCGTGACCGGGCGCACTGTCAATGGCTACGCGGAGTATTTCGGCCGGACGGCCCCGGATCCGGCGGATCCGAATTCCGTTTTCGACGGGGGCTACTGAAACGCACGTTTCACACTCGACTTCACGGTACTCGCCCGTTTTGTCCGCGCGTGCACGGCCATTGAACGCGAATCATAATAATCGTACACAATTCGAATATTGGTCTGATTAGTCGTTCGAGCAACTTCCTGTCGGCACCTTATTTTTTTCCCCACCCCGAAAATTACACCCGTGTTGAAGCCAACCGAAGTCGGTTGAAACTAGAGCCGCTTATCACGCGCGTACGCGTGAAATTGAAAATTTCACGCCAGAGACCGTGTAATGCGGAATTCACGTGAGTTGCGTGGATTTTTCAAATGCGCGAAATTCGCGAATGCGAAAATGTGAAAAGACAAATACACGTATTTTTAATTTTTTCCTTATTTGTTACATGTTTTATCTAGTTAGTGACGAGTAAAGTCATCTTTTGATTTTTGATTTTATTTTTCAACGAGAAATTTTGCTCCGATCAAAAAATTACACCACGGCACTGGTAGGTACATCGTATATGTAATATTTATACGTGAAATGACAATTATGGCGTATCGGCTTTCTCAATGCACTAACTTGATTTAGAATGCTACAAAAAAGCTCTTTTGTCATATTTTGGCTGGAACAAATTTTCTAGTAAAAAATCAAAATCAAAAACAACGAGACTTAATAATCACGTGAATTTAAATCACGGAATTCACGTGTGTGTGATCATTACATTCACGTGTCACGTGAAATATGTAAATATGCAACATAAATATCCGTGTACCCGTGACACGGATACACGTGTGCAATAAAAAACGTTTCTTATGAACACCTCTAGTTAGAACCCATGATTATTATTTCGGTCTAAGAAAACCAATTCATTTCCTGTATATCTATACGAGTATATTATTATAATATAAAATTATGCTTGTCAAAAATCGAGATTAAAACTTTATCGCCAAATGTGTATACATCGTTCAACGTAGTAATTCGTATTCTTTCGTCCGTAAAAATTATTTGACCAACGAATACTACGTATACCAAAATAAAATTCGTAATCGCCGTATTAGTATACATAAAACATTTTTTTTTTTTATTACGGACAGGACACACCTCTGTGTGATTTTGTGGTAAACCGTTCGAGAATTATGTGCTATCATACTCGTATAATAATATCTTAATAAGGAACCATGCCATTTCGATGCACCTAACATAAAACATTAGTATGCGAACCACGTGTTATATGTGCAATATAATATACCTACACCTAATGTGCTAACAGTGAATTTACAATATACAACCAATAGTAGATACCTACCTACACAATATTATAATATCGGTACCTATATTACAATAGTACCTATTACATTTAAAAATTGGCGCTGCCGTTTTTTTTTTTGTTAGGAATGTATTTTTCGTTACACACCGAAAAAATCGGTGCGATGTATGTCACATTGCAGTTTGTTCAGATTAATATACAGTTATTCGGTTATTTATTTTTTAACAGTTTATTTTCCCGAGAACGTGAGCGATATGCATACGCGTGCT